AAATAAAAATCTTGCGATTTTAAGGTAATTAGCACACCTACTATACAATCAGCACTCTATTTTGTGGATTTTAATTTTGTGAATTTTTCCAAAATGCCAGAATCGCGAAATTTAATCTCTACAAAATATAAGGCGTATATGGTACTTTGTACTTAATTTCTGCTTGTAATTAGCACTATCAAGTTAATTTTTAATGTCGGAAGCCAAAATTATATTGTCTGTCTTCCTTTTTTCCTACCAGTCAATCTAGTAATGTTCTTGTTATTGGTATGACGAATAGGAAAGAGCTGATGGATCCAGCACTACTAAGGCCAGGAAGGTAATGGACAACATTTAATTTTGTAGCTTTAAGCTTTAGGCATGTACCGTATATCCTTAAATGAAAGCCGGATGTGAATAAACGCTGGGGTAGCAATAGAATGGAAGTATAAATACTCAAATCTAGCCTAGAAATAAATTAGATGCCTTCTTTAGTTCCTGAAGTCAAGTGCATAAGGTCCCAGGTTCGGATCCTGCTCTGGGCTTAAGTTATTATTAAAAAATTTTTTTTGAGGTCCAAATACCATTTGAGGAAATAGACACCCGGGCTTTTATTTAAGGAAATACGGTACATGTACCGTAAATCCTTAAATAGAAGCCGCATTTGAATAAACGCCGGGGTAGCAATAAAATTAAAGTATAAATACGCAACACTAGCCTAGGAGTGACTCAGTAGTCTAGTGGATAATGCCTGAAGTTCCAGAAGTCAAAAGCATGAGGTTACGGGTTCGAATCCCGCTCTGGGCTGACGTTTTTTTTATTTTTTATATATTTTTTCGAGATCCAAATACCATTTTAGGAAATAGACGCCCGGGCTTTTATTTAAGGAAATACGGTACATGTATAATGTGAATTTATTATATGCAACCAAAGAATCTTACATGTTTTTATTATGTAGATTTGAAGTTCAAATAGAAGTGGGTCTGCCTGATGAAGAAGGAAGGTACATGTACACATACGTACTCTAGATTTGTATACATGAATTAATACTTGTCATTCTATCATGTGTATCCACTATCCGTACATTACGCTAGAGAGGAGATATTTAGTATACACACTAGAGAAATGAGGGAGAATGGTATACTATCAACCGATGTCAATCTTAAAGAGCTGGCTGCTAATACTACAAGATTCAGTGGAGCTGAAATAGCTGGTGTAGTGAGAGGAGCAGCTTCTTATGCTCTAGAGAGAAAAGTCAGTAATTATTAATTATTATTAATAGAATTAGGTACATGTACATGTACAGTACATATCAAAAAAGGCTAAGTAGCTATCTCGCAGTTACTCTACTTTTGCGTAGGTAGTTTGTTGCTCCTTCTCTGCGCATGCTTACTGTGACAGTAGCAGGACAGTAGTGCAACAGTAGAAGACAGTAGCGCGACAGTAGAAGACAGTAGCGTGACAGTAGAATGGAGCAAAAAACATCCTAAACAGGCTTCTAGAAGGAGAGAGTGGCATTATAGATGAACTTGGAGAGCACAGACAGCCAAAAGAAGCATCCACAAGTTCTACTACAGTACATGTGACTGGGTGGGATAGTGGTATAACGCAGCGAAGAGTAACAAAGAATAGCGAAGTAGTAGCGAAGTGCCTATGAACTACCTTCAAGGTTCTCTTCTCTACTGTACCCTACTTAGCCTTTTTGATGTGTACTCTACCTTTGTAATGGCAATATTGTTTTATACATGTAGTATGCTGATGCTAAGGAACCAATGATAGTGACTAGAAAGGATTTTGTGGACTCGTTAATATCAATATCACCAGCTTATACACAATCTGAGGTCAGAGACTTCACTTAATACATAATTTGTACTATCCTCATCTTTGTTATTCTACTTTCACTTTTTGCCTCCCTCTCCTTCTCCTTACAGTCACATATTGTATCACAATATCTTCCTACTAACTATTTTTCATTGACTACTGATCACGAGTCCATCATCACTTCATTGTTGGAGCTTAGTTCATCAATACAGTCTCAAACTGCTGC